GTTTCTGACGGCAATCCAATGCCCTTTTTATGCACTAAGACAATGTCCAATTTCGCTTCCTCTAGAACCAAAGTTTGACAGAGTAAGGCCATAGAGTAGAGAGAAAGCTTTCGCAACTGATAGTGAGCGCAGTATCTCGGCCAGAAGTAATGAGGAAATGAAAGAGATTGATTTAGCGTGTTCTGGATGAAAGGAAAAATATCAGTGCTTCCAATTGGTAATGATTTCGGGGATGATTTTTATTAACAATCCGACTTACTGTTGGCACAAGTAGTAGTATCGGCTATGATTCGAAACCTTTTACTGCACCCCTTCTTTTGATTTGCAAACATTACAAATCCTTGTGGTAGCAAGGCAGAAGTGGTGTAGTGGCAAGTGGCGTACTATCTAACACGCATGGCCGCGGGTTTGAGCCCCGGGCCGATATCCGCCAAGGCCACTCAAGTCTCCATTCCTCATTGTCGGTCAACTGATGGTGCGCATATTAAGGAGCTCTCTGAATTGTTTTCAGTTTTTTTTCTCAGGAAAAATTGAAGAAACATAGAAGAATCGAAAATCGTAGGACAAGAATTACGACTATTTTTGTAACGACTGATAGAAGAAGTGAGTACATCCCATTGCCATTTCCGGTTTTTTGTCTCTGGGCGTTCACAGACTACATGCATCGCAACGGCGATGGGAGGTCGTCATGGCACACCTACTTTGTGATGCTCTCGAAAAAAGTCTGGGATAACCTTTTCACAGCAATAAATGGGAAATTTTGCAGATGGCCCATCGCTAGCANNNTTAACCTATTTGATGCAGGAGAGGGGAATTTATGAGACCTGTTACGGCAAAAAAAAGGTTGTTAGGACATGTCTCCTTTGCTGGATGTTCCACTCCCGGTTTCAGATTCTACGGTTTTTACAAAGCAACTTCGGAGACTGGTCAGATGGAGGATTTTATGCTCACCGATTTCTTACGCGTGATGGAAGTTTTCCAGAAAGCGGTACCATGACGAAGATGAAAAGCAAATTTCAGTGAAGGACATATAAGGAGCGAGGTCTTCACTTGCTTCAGTTGCTCAGCTTCATTTCATCTCCCATAAGAGCACTCAGAGCACAAAGCGGCTAAAAAGCTCAACTTCCAATGGGCCCTACGAATCACCTTTGAGTACGACTTCAAGCACTTGCTTCAGCGGTAATATGGTGAAAATGACGTTGTGAGAATCCGTTTTTCTCGCCTGGTAGCTTTCGTTGTCAGGAAGCTTTCTCTTTATACTTTTTACCAAAAAGGCTCTAAAAATGTTACTGCCAGAAACTTTGGGGGAAAGTGTAGGGAACTTTTCATGTTGTAGGGACAAGCGTGAGTCTCCAGAGTGAATCGACCCTTTCCATGTGACCGACCAGGGAATGCTCATGAAAGAGAGCAAACTTTATTTTTGGATAGCTCAACATTATGGCTATCAATCACCATTACTATTGATAGAGGCTCAATCACTTACTATTCTAGAGCTACTTCACATGATGTTTTATTGGAATCATACCAATACATCACGAAATGCGTTCAAAGTTAACAAAGTTTTGTATAAAGGGCTACTGGAAGAAGCTCAGAAGAGGGATGAAACTATAACTAGCGTTATTGAAAGAAAGAACTTTTTGGGGGACCTAGAAATAAGTTCATGTATGGGGAAAGCCCAGCAAGCAGCAACGTTTCGCCTGAAATGCTCAGCTTGGCGATGAAGGCTTGTGATGAAATGAGATTTGATGAGATCAAAATAGGGGGACCCTCTGGGGAGAACCAGAAATTTTTAGCAAAGCATAGAAATGGATGCGATGCTAAATCAGTAAGCAAGACAACATGTGAGCATCCAATACTCCACGGAGCTTCCTTAGAATTGAATGCAAAAGCAATAGTCAGGTTCCGAGGATTTTTTTGGTTTCCTATTGCCGATGGCTCACGCATCGCCGACGTGTTCATTTCCGAGCCCCATTACCTACTTCCTGCGATGGGATGAAGCTCGGAGTATGCACTGTTCCAGGAGCTTTGAAAAAAAAA